TAATTATTATCTTGCTTGAGCGATTGCATTAATACTCACATCAGACTTTCCCCTGATCCTACGTTAAGGCACTGTCTGTTCTTACTAGTAGAGAACGCATAGATTATGAACTTAAGATTGAATTTAGTCTCATATATTCCTTCCCTTCTTTACTGGCCTTCCTCTTTGTGCTGTATCCACCAATATTACCAATATATTTGTAAAGTGCGTGACGTGTTTACAGAAAAAAAAAATTGTGATAGAAGAAAAGTTTCTCTGGGTCTCAAATCATTCAAACTGTGGATCATATCTTTCAGAGATGGACAACTATCATCCCTGCTGCGTGCAAGGAAGAGTGGGTTTGTGATAGGGAGTCATAGTTTTCTTGATGCTCCTAAAAACTGATTGCAACTTCATGTTAGAAAATAAATTGTTATATTACAGAATCGTTATAGGCCCATCTGTGCAGTCTTTCAAGAAAATATCTTCTGTCAAAGTCTTATGGGTTGTTTCTCTAAGGACTGTGGGATTCAGTCCAATGCTGATTATTCAGAACTCCTTGGTAACCATCAACTAGTTACTTGCTATGGATCCATCAACAATCTCTGCTCTTAGAGATTAAGAAAAAAGAGGCTTCACAATTTCAATGCAAACAATAAATTGAGACCATTCTGTTTTCTGATAATAAATCAGTGTTACAGAAGGAAAAGAGTAAAAACTGATTTTTTTTTTAATTTTTTTTTTTTCTTGAGCTTGTTAACTAAATCTAGTTAGATGTTCTTCGCTCAAATACAGAAGAGCTTGTGCAACTTACTTTACAATGAAGGAGAAAGAACAAGTAGAGATTAAAGTATAAATGGAAATAAAATAAAACAGAGGGATGGGACGAAGCCTTGTAGTTAAGACAAAATTGTCCATTCACTCTTTCAAGAAGGAGGGCTTTTTTGTAGGGATAAACGGTCCATGTTAAGTTAGACTCAAAGCTGTACCGTAACGCATATTTAAAGGAGGAACATTGTGGTAAGTCTTAGCAGCAAAACATGTCATTTCTCTTTACTATCCCTTTAGGTTTGGAGGTTTGGGAGGGGTTTTTTGCTTTTGCAACATGTAGTAATGAAATGCTGGTATCAATAAAATGTGCCATTTTACCGAAGGCAGATATGAAGCAAGCTTCCTCAAGCCGCCAGCTGAGACTTGTGAATCAGTATTTCAGCACTGACCTTTTTATGCCTCTCATTTCCATTCCAGTTCTTGAGATCTGATGATTAACCCAATGAAGTAATGTTTAATCATTTAACCTTCCTTTGCCTGTATTGTAGCAGTCACAGGAAATCTATTTCCAAACCAAAAAAACAAATCATCTTTGAAAGGGACATAGTGAGCTAAAGTATCCTGAAATGTTATAGAGAATGAATCATATTAGCTGAGAGTCGAGTCCAGTCTAGATACTTTAATTTTGGGGGAAAATGTTTTGCCTGTAAGTAGCTGAACTTTTATGTCTTTTTAATTTTTTTTTTAAAGCAGTAAGTTATGAAAGTTGTTTTGCTTTTATTTCAAATGCTTAAAAAAGTAGAGAAAAGATTGTTCCCTGTGCAGGCTTTATAACAGAAAAATTATATTGTGAAATAGGTAAAAGTTGTGAAACTGATGATTGTATTCTCTGAGAAATGAAACTTTTAAGGTTTTTTTATTATTGCAGATGTCGCAAAGATTTGACAAATGAAATTTAAGGAAGCAACCAAACAGAAGTATTTCTGAACTTGTTTTCATTAAAGTAAATGTTGAGACTGCAAATGCATAGTTTTATTGCACCCTGATGTGTATATTACCATGCAAATTATTCATGGCTATGATTACACTAGATCACAGAAAATAGGGGGGAAAAAAAACCCTTAATTTATATCTTTTGGCTTATTTAGAAAGTTTGAAAAAGGAAGACAAATCAGAAGTTCTTGACTGAAATTTTTAGAACTTTAGCTGTGCTTTCCGTGGAGTACTTTGTAATAGACAATGAATGTAAAAAAAAAATTAAAGAAGAAACAATCTGAGTAATAACTTAAAAAAAAGAAATTGTGAATTCATAAGGTAAGAAAAATTGCCCCAATGTTGGTTTGGGGTTTTTTTGGAGACAGAAACTTGTTACACTTTTTTCAACACTTTCATCATTGGTCTTATAACAAAAATTGTATGTTTTTAGCTGGAGGGGAAAAAATTAGTTTTAAGGCAGCCTTAAATTTTGCAGCAGTCTAGAAATGTGGGTGAAGGAAGCTGTTTATTTTTAAGAAATTTGATGAAAAATGGTGCACTGTGCTTACACTAAGTTAATACAGTCAATCTATATATAATTATAATAATATATTTTATTAAACCAGTTGTGCTGCAAGCGTTAGTTTATAGGTCACCTGCTAAAGAGTTTTTTTCCAATTCCAGCTTGTGAAAATTAGTGCAACAGTGTATTAGCAATGCAGTCTAAGATAATGGGTAAATATGTTAAAATTGGAATGGAAACAACTTCCCTTGAAATATATCATGGACCTATTTGAATACTTGGATTTTAGTGTTTTATTTTAAAGATACTTTACAGTGAGATTTATGGAGCTGTGAAAAAATCTTTATTGGCTTATAAAAGTGAAAATATTGTTCTAACCCCACGAGAATTGTGAAATGGTGAACAAAATAGGAACTGAAAATATCATGGTCACATTCAGCTTTGTTGTAGAGTACAGGGGGAGACATCTTATGAAATTCCTACATAAGGCACTACTTTTTCAGTTCACCTTTTCAAAGACCAAAATCTGTTGTTGAAAGGACAATGTTACTGTTGTGCTTTAGCACGCTTTTTCATTTTAAATTAATTTGTAGAGAAATTCTGAAGACACACTTCTACTTTTGTATTTGGTTAAGGAATTAGAATACCTGTTGTCTCCTTAGTGTGCTGCATTTTATTTCCTTTGTTGATAATTGTGTGATCACACTCTGCAGAAGAGTCTTGCATCCTTTTCAGTTCATGTCCTAAATCCTCAGTGGCACCGAATGTGTACATTAGTGCTGACCTGTACTAGTGATCATATATTACCTCATTTCAGTTTTGTTTACTAACTTGGAAATAACAACGAGGGAATTTTAGCTTGAGAAGGAACTGCCCTCAATGTTGCAAGATTTTTGGACTTGGTTCACTGCTAAATTATCACTTTTTGTTGTTTATAACAATTTGTGTCAAAATGCACTCTTCACAGAAAAACATGAAAAATTTTACTTTACTTGTCATGTAGGCATGTTCTAGACCTGTTTCTACTAACAGAAGTTCAAGTGTTTGGTATCAGCCTCACTGGGAGTAGGTTTTAATCACTCATGCATACCGCATGTATCCTAAAAGTTAACTAGAAAAATATCAGGAACCAGTTTTCAGAAAAGAGGGAATATTTAATCTATCCCATTTTGCAATAAGACATTCACGATCCATGGTGTTACTGCTGGTGAAAGTTAGCAAATTCACCCCTTATAGAATATTCTAAAGGGTTTTTATAGTCTCCTGTGGTTAAAAAAGTCCCACTGTAAGATGTAGGAAATCTCATTTCCTTGGCATTTTTCTTTAAGTTGAAGTATTTGTTTTAATTTGGGTTCTTTTTTCAAACATGAAGTATGATAAATAAAATTATTCTATCAATAAGAATTGTTTGGGGTTGAGAATTTAACTATTTTTAAAGCACTGTACTGGAGAAAAGTTAGGACTTGAAAAAGGGGTGTAAAAAGCTAGCAAATGGCCTTATTAGGTTTTTTTGGTTGGTTTTTATTTTTTTTTAATCTGGCATAGAAAGTTATGTCTGTTCTATAGTTCAGAATTTAAGTAATATGCAAGAATATTGTCAAGTAATTGTAATTTACTTGCATTGGTGTATAGTATTGAAGGTTTCAACAGAATTGTAACAAACTTAATATTGCATAAATGTAATTTTTCTGGATTATCTTGTAGTTGCTTTAATCAATAATTAATGATATTCTAAATTCTACACTTCACTATTGAAGTGTAGAATTTAGAATATCATTAATTATTGATTAAAGCAATTTCCTTGTGAAATTTATCTGATAATTTTCTACAAAATGTAAATCAGTGAATATTGCATTGCTACTAGAAAATCAGCTTTTTAGTGCTTATTAAAAAAGAATTAATAATTACTTTTTAAAGTTTGCTATTACCAAAGATACTCAGCTTTCTATAACTACTGTTGCCAAGCCTGAATAGATAACACTGACCCTGTTTTTAACTTTTTGGACAGTTTTGCTTCAAAAGAATTTTATTCTCATGTAAATTCACTTCTCACATTCAAATAAACTGCCTGTGAGAATCTTTATTTTTGCTCTTTAAAATGTATACTGTGTATTTGGTAAACTTTGAGACTCATGTTTGAAAGCTATGATGACAAAATAAAAGGAGGCAGCATGTTGTTTGTAAACAATAGCTCAAAAGTTATATGGTCTGCCACCTTTGTTGCTTTTAAAGTATTTTAGATTCAGCTGTATGGATTTAATGAACTTCACAAGTCTGTTGTAGAGAGTACCTGGAATTAGCTATTTTGATTAAGGTCTGAGGATATAATGGGATTATTATGTTCTGTCTTTGTGTTTTGAGAAAGTACCTTTTTAACATTATAAGTGGTATTGAAGGAATTAATTCCCTTTGCTTGTTTAAGGAATAAGGTATAAGCAGCATTGGCATTTCAAAGATATGGGGAAATGAATACTAGAAAACCTGTTTCCATAGTCGTGTGAACTTAGTGCCACTTGCAGAGTTTTGAAAAACAAAACTCAATACATGTGGGTGGTCAGATTTTCACAGTGAGCATTGTGAATTTCTCTCTCTTCCCTCTAAGCCCAGACTTTCAAACTGGCCTTTTTGTTTTAAAAATTCTCCCAATTGCTAGTTAGGAAATCCCAAAGCATGGGGGACAGTGAAATCACATACATTTTGAGGTGTGTTCGGTTTGGATTTTGCCTCATTAATACTGTTTTCTTGTTTGCAGGATTTTGCTTCCCGGGCCAAACTGGCTGTCCAGAACCTGGTGCAGAAGGTTGGGTTCTTCGGCATTTTGGCCTGCGCTTCAGTAAGTTCATTTCAGTAGCAGAGGGGTTTATAATCACAAATTGCAGATTGAATGTATTGCAATTAATGCTGTGAACTGTGACTTGGTTTTATATGAGTCCATATGGGTCCTCATGCCTTCTTTGCTATTTCTGTGTTCTCTGTGGTTCTTAGAGAAACGGGATGGTTGTGGTACTGGCAAATACAATAGCATGGAGAAACTCCAGTCCTAGATTGGTACCAAACACAGTGAATTCTGCATAAAAGCACAGCTAACAGTTACTATCCCTTCCTTCAACTTCACCATTGGGCTTCTTGACACTGGTTCTCCTTGGAAGATAATGAGTTTGGAATAGTTCTATTTCCTTTTTAATCCATCAGAAAAGAACGGTGCAGCAAGGGATCCCTTTTTTCAAAAGATAAAGCAATTCACTCCGTAGTTCAGCATGGTGTGGTGAAACCCGATAAAAACAAGTCAGTTCCCTAAAGATGCAGAAAGCTTGTCACAGTAAGGAGGACTTACAAGAGACTGAACTAAGACATTTTTTAAATTCAGGAAGTTTCTGTGTTTCTGTTTCAGACCAGGGATGCTCCCTGCATTTGATGTTGAGGCCACGTCTTCTCTAAGAGAGGCGTATGCCCACTGCTGCTCACCGCTCTGCGTTAGTGGGTATTTGGCAGATCAGATCACGTGCCAACTGACAGTTACCCTGTTGGGACCTTCCTAGCCCAGATTATTAGCTAGCAAGATATAGGCAAGAGCTGTATTATTACCTATAGATTCTGCAGGAACCATATTATAATTTCTTTAGGTGTTTATGTACTAGAGCTTACAGTGCTTGACATCTTCAAATCCAAAGATATACACAGACTGAAGAGTGGAAAACTACCTGTATAAACCCTAATTAGGACATCCCTCCATAGTAATTCTCCCAAGTCTGCTCTGGAGGTATCTTTGGGTCATTAGGAACCCGAGAGAGTGGAATGAGGAAGCAAGTTTCAGAGTCATGGCTATACAAACTACTTGTAGATTTTTTTTTCTCTCTAAGCAAGAGGTGATACGTGCATCTCCACTGATGCTATTTTAGTGTTTCAAGTAAGATAATACTGTTATTTTGGAGTAGAAAAATATTGAACCATTTGAGGTTCAAATCTCTCTCTGGAAACTTAATGAAAACTGGTCGGAATGATGTGCCTTACTCTTCCATCCCACACACAAATGTGGGATGTGATGTACAGAAATGTGATTACAGTGAAGAGGGGAAGTGTAGGTCCCCTATGATCCCATTCTTCCGGAATAACCACATCCATTAGCCAGCTGCTCAGCTAATGAGATATTAACTCCACACTTGCCTAGCATCTCTCTTCGTTTCCCAAGTTGTAGAGATGACAATGCTAACTGTTTGCTCAAATGCAAGTAACCTGTGTTAGCTGGGAAGAATTAATCTGATTATAGTTGCTGGCAGGCAACTTCTGTTTACTAATCTGTTGAACTCCCTTAATGTTTAGAGTGGAGCTGTAGGTTACAAGCTGTTCTTTAAATGCTTCCATCCAGTAAGCTCTCAGACTGCTCCTTCACTGCCTCTGACTCATTAGTCTCTAGTCACCATCTTGTGAGACACCGCCGCACAGGCTATTCTGTCTGTCTTGTGTAATCAGAACGACAGCTTGTAGGTGGCAGGATGAGTTACTGGAGTGGCTGGACAAGGTGAAGAGTGGATAAATGGAGAACATGAGGAAGGAGTTGGTAAACAGGAGAGGGGATGTGTAAACTCTTCCTAGTTCCTGCTTAGTAATACTTAAACATTTGCTTAACTTCTTACCTACTTGCCGCACTGTTCTGCAGCACACTCTGAGCTCCAGCTTCCTTCTGCTTATATAGGCTGCCCCAGCTTGGGGGAGGGATGAGGAATCATGAATCTACACAGTACGCTTGAGGATTTGTAATGTGTTTACAGAATAACTGCAGAGTAGCAGTAAAAAGGGTGAGGTTTAACGTGGCAGGGGCACTAAAAAAAGCATAGGGATTCGAAGCCATACATTTTTGTCACACCTGTAGGTGAGGAAGGCAGCCCGCCACGTGTGCTCCTTGCGTTTGTATGTTCCCCCACGAGCTTCAGGGCTTCTCTTGCTTGTTGCTGCTTCTCCGTATGCTAGAAGGTGTCTCCTTTACTTGCCCCCCTTATAATTGCAATCTTACTTTTGGATTTTAAACAGTATTTTAGTTGGGTGTATTTTTTATGATTAGAGAACTTGCTCGTCAAGTGGTGATGGCTGTCCCAGCTGCAGGTAGTTGTCTGTCAAGCAGTGGCTTCTAAATGCTACATAAAACCACAATCAAATTGAATTTAAAACTTTGCAAGTTTATCCAGTGAAGTCAACTGAATTGAATGTTGTTTAGTGGCAATAAGAAAGCCATATTATTGTCTGGAGCTTATTTGCTACATAAAGGCAGCTCTGGGGAAGGAACAAAGCAAGAATTAGCCCTGGAAGATCCTTGCTGTGACTTGTGAGAATTTGCCCTCCTGTCTTCGTGGGCTTTTTTGGCAACCCTTAGTACTGCATATGTATGTTTTTTCAAAAACAAACAAAGAGAAAACCTCACTAGCCTGCTAATATACCCTAATGTGGACTTGTTGAGTAACTTTTTGCTGCGATATGTTTAATGTATTAATGATATCCACAGTTACCCCTACCTAAAGCATGTTGCTCCCTCCATGGTAATAGTAATGCAGTAATTAGAACGTACTGTGAACTTACAAAAAAAAAAAACCTCCAACCAACAAAGAACATACTTGAGACCTAGAGCAGACTTGGCTCAGAAGAGCAAAATTATCTGGCTGTGGTATAAGTAAATAATTTACTAGCCTCCTATGCCTAAGACAGCTGTCAGAGGTAAAGAATCATTTTAGTTGAAGTGGAGCATGTTTAGAGACCGTTTTGGGGCATGATTAGAGACCGTTTCAGATTTCTTCCTATGCAGGTGGTGTTGTGGGTGCTCATAAATTTGAATTGCTAGTCTATAACAGCTAAGCATAACCCTCACCAGCTTTCTCACAGATTTCAGATTTCCATTCTGTCAGCTGCAAAGTTGCCATCTTTTATGGTCTTTAACAATCTACACTGTTTGTTTGTTTGTGTAACAAACCAACACAAATACTGCAGGATATTAGCCCAGTAATACACTGCTACTGTGAATTACACATCCCCATGCGTTCACTCAGACAGTCTGCCCTTGTACTGCATGTGAAGTGTGAAAGGTTAGAATTTGGATACTTTCTTGGTTTAATTTCAAAAATATTTTACAGATAGTATCACAATACCAAATGTCAAGCCAACAGTTTAACAATAAAAAAAATATTTTAATTTTAAATGAAATGCATATGCTTAATAAAATCTAATCAGTGTTTTTAAACTGGATACATATGACTATAAATGCCAGTTTTTAAATGTACTTTCTCAGATGGAAGTCACTGGGGATCATTTTGAACACTAGCTTCCAAGAGTGATGTGCTTGTCAGTAAGAAAATTTGATAAATCACTCAAAATGGCTTTGCTGTGGTTTCTGTGCATTTCACATGGAAAACTTTTTGTTAGCTTTTTTAAAATCCATGGGTAAGGAGGGACCCTGAGAATGGAATTGTCTGGGACATTGTCTAGCTTAATCCCAGAGACTTAAGTTATGTGGTGCGACATTAGCATTTTTGTAAGTATTAAGACACAAGAGTTTTGGATCAAGTTGAATAAGGGGAAAATGTTCATTTTTCAAAGTTCCAACATCTGTCGTGTTCCTGTTCGTCTAAGTAAGTGCTGCAATTCATGAACTTCTTTCCCTTGCACTTCATAGATTCCAAACCCTCTGTTTGACCTGGCCGGGATAACATGTGGACACTTTCTGGTTCCCTTCTGGACCTTCTTTGGTGCAACCTTGATTGGGAAAGCAGTAATTAAAATGCACATCCAGGCAAGTACTACACCTCCCTTAAGGCTCTGGGGTGAAGACTTTTTTTTTTTAAACTGTTACACTGGGTTACTTCGTAATGAATTCTGGAGTCTCCCTTCCTGACCTGAAGTAATAGAAATTAATTTGCTGCAAAGGATTTACAATAAAGGATCTGCTAGGCTTCTTATGTTCAAAACATAGGCAAGTGAATAATTTATAGCTACAAACTAATGAGCTCGCTGCCTATACCACTCAGGAAATTGGTGGTTAGCCAAGTTATTTACCTACGGTTTTTACCAGACTGAAAGGACTTCGTACTCATAATGAACTTGCCTTTTTGGTAACAAATACTCATTTCAAAGAGCACTGCAACTAGCCTTTACCAGTTAAGCGGCACTTTTAAATGCTGCCTTTTATCTCAGTTGAGTGTGTAGAGAAAACCCCACTCCTTCAGGCCCTGCAGAAAGCAGTCTGAGGGTATGTCTCTGGGCAGATTGTCTATAGCTTTCAAGCATGGTTAGCGATTTTTGGTGTCCTCAGACTGTATTATTTTGAAATAGTCTGATATCAGAGTATGTCCAGTTTTTCTTGCGAACTCAGAGCCTTCCTGCATGTTCTGAATTTGGCAGTCAGAATCTCCAGTTGCTTTCCAAAATTTTGAGTCTCGCTTTTAAAATTCATCACCATCTTCTCCAATGAAGGATGAAGTACTGATTCCCAGGCGATTCTTTACCGGTGGCAGTGTGGTTAGTGCTATGTCATGAACTGCATCGCTCTATTTGTAATGATTAGAACCAACGTTTTCAGCTGGGGCTTTTTTAAGCATCTCCATAGGACTGGTGCAGTGCCTGTAGCTGTGTTGCTTGGAAATCTTTGCTGTCACTACATTAAAATAACAGAAGCTATTAGTAGTATAAAATTACTTGATTAGTACCCTCGTCAAGCTGCTTAAACATCTTTCTTTCGCCCTGAACGGAAGATTTCAATCTTCAACCCTTTTTTTTCTTCCCGTCTTTTTGTAAATGGTTATTTTACTTTGCCCAGTCCTTAAACAGAAAATAATAAATAGGTCTGGAAATTCTTTCATTCGCTGTGATAGAACAACATCTTCTCCACACTTATTTTTGTATTATCTGAAATTTTCTGCTTTCAAATCTGGGTACTGTTAGAATTTGTTGTGGCAACATAGAAAAGTGAAATAGTATTTGTGTAATATTTCTTTTATTATTTTATTTGTCTTGTTTAGCTAGCAGAATGTTTGCTATATAATTTATAGTGCTCCACACTCAGATCAAATGTAAGTGAAAAAATATTTCCCAGTGTCTTGTACAGTTGGTAAATCATCTTATTTTGTAATATGTTTAGCTATTAGAATTCTCTCTTCTGCGACACTTGGTTTCAAGCGTACTGTTGCGCAGGAGCCTTGATTTTTGTAGTGATCTTCCTGCAATTTGTAATTTAGGAAATATAAGTGTCATGGAAAAGGCTTTTAATGAAATCTTGCTCTAGACAGGAAGCGAGTGACTCTGGTACAGTGGCCGTCCTGGAGCTGCTTTTCACCGGCCTCTTCCTCTGGACCACAAAATCATTTTGTGTAGTTCTAGTCAACATCCCTTATTTCCAGACTAGCGAATGCAGTTCTCATTAGATCATGTTTAAATTGATTTAAGGAGACTGTGGGAACTGTTTGTGTGTGTATACGCAGCTACACACAGTCTTGCTCACTCTGCAAATTAACAAGCTGTCAAATATGACAAAAGTGGAATTAGCAAAGGCTATTTTAACAAAATTTTAACTTGTGTTAGAAGAGAAGGGAGTGGTAAAATTGTGGACATTTGGATTTTCTGCAAAATAAGCCATGTGTTACAGAAGTTTCTTTTATTGAAATTACTCTGTTCAAATAAGACTGTTGCATTAGAGACCGTGACAACCTAAGTTTTCTGAACAGACAGGTACCCAATGGCTCTTCCTTTGTTCTTCACTAAGTACTTTTTGTTATGCTTCTGTCTGAAGCACATGAACTAGGGGACTAGAAGATATATTATTTTTCATTTCTGTGATCTTTAAGTACAAGTGTTTGTGTAAGGGGATGTGAATTTTTCTGCATAGCGATGACTGTTTTTCCATTAAAACATTGTTGACGGAGTAAAGTGACCTTGAGCTTCTGGGAATTTAGGTTTGGGGAGGATGCGAACGGTTCGTAACATAGGCTACAAAAACATTGCAAGAAATGAAATCTGTGAGGAAATAGAGTAATAAAGTAAACAGCTTTTCTATCTCCTGCCTCTTTTTGAAGAGTATTGAAAAATAAAGATCTTGAAAGAAAAGAGAGGGGGAAAACTATGTGCAAGTGCTGGAGAAGCTGTCTGGTTGGAAAGGAACATAAATTGTCATACCCCATTGTCCCTGCTTCCCTTTTGATCAAATGTTTCTCTAACTGATGTTTTCCTTCCTACAGAAACTTTTCGTTATTGTAACATTCAGCAAACATATAGTGGAGCAGATGGTGTCCCTAATCGGGTGAGTAATTCTTTAACACAGTAATACCTTCACTCATTAAGTGGAAAAATACTGGAGGAGTCAAATTAGATGTGCTGAAAATTATGTTTTGCTTCAAAGCGCAAGCTTTGGCCAACGCATAATTTAGGTCTTATTTGCAGCTTCATTCCTCACCTCAAGGGCTTCAAGTACTTCAAGAAACTTAATAGCACTGAAGGTCAGATGGCCTGAGTGTATAGTACCAACGGTTAACTTTCACCCAGAAATACGATACAGCTCTTCCAATTATAGATCGCTACACTTTTAGCTGCAAATAGGCTGTTTTTTTAATGGACTTTCTTCAGTGTTGGTAGTGTGATCCTATGACAAAAAATAAAAGCACTGTTGTGATTTATGCATTGTCCCAAGATGACAGTAAACCCCTTCCATAATTTGAAGTACCTTATACATTTAAAATCTCAGATGTCTCAAAATGTCAGAATGAGAAATAAGTGAAAATCTCAGTTTTAAACAAGAAAACTAAGCAAAAATCCAGCTAACAGTTGCGGGGGGGGGGGGGGGGGGGGGGAAAAAATAAAAACAAAATTTTCATTTTT